ATCCATATACAAATAGTCGCATACATACTTCTCATGGACCTGGTTTTAAAAGTATATGTTGGTGTGCTGTACGCATCATGGAGAGTACCTATGCTTTTGGGTACACAGCTTCCCCAAGGTAAGTTCAAGGGTTTGGCCTATGAAGCGAGATTGCAGAGGGCACGAGCGGCTGGAAAGCGTGCTGTGAAGGAGGTTTTTGGCGCGTAGTGAGTATACGGCCTGCACGTCTCAAGGACGATCGAAGCCGGTTCAAAATGTCTAGCAGTGCTCTGCTTCCTGAAGATTTGTTGATATATCAGACCAGCGGTGTGATCCGCTACATGTATATAAAGTACATATATGAGCATGATATGCTGAAGGCTAAACGGAGGGTGTGTGGAGAAAGGGGGTCAGCAAAAATCGCTTATACGAAGTTAGTGCATCAAAAATACCTTCCACGAAGTTCTGCGAAGGTTTCTGGGATTTCGTTGCAGTCAGTTCTCCTACTGGCCCACCATTCCACGAACTGTCCACGAACAGCCTTGGGTTCTACGAAGGTCACGCGCCTTCCACGACGTTAGTAGAATAGGTTTTTGCAAAACCCTTTCTGTGCACTACCCTTCCGTTTGCCTTTGATATGCTATGCATGTGCTTAGCGGTGCCAAGCTGTTGTTCGTGACATTCTGATGGAATTCGTTCCCATGGCTTCCAGACATGCGACGACGTATAGAGGGCCATCCTGACTTGCAAGACCTTTTCCCGATATCATGGCCCCTGCGCGCTTTGAGTATGCGACCATTTCGTGGTCCTCGGTGGACGCTCTTACCAGCCCTGATCTTTGGACGCAATGGGCTCTGAACGCCGAGTTCAGGGCTTTGCCTCCCACTCAAGAGATGAGACACAGGTGCGTGGACAAGGTCATGTACTTAGGAGATATGCTATACAAGTACGACCTGCAGACCCACCCAAACATGGAACATCAGCCGAACTGGCACGTGTAGCCTGACTGTATGCATAGATGGAAGACACAAAGAGAGAGAGAGAGAGAGAAATATAGATATATATAGTATCTTGGCTTGTTGGTTTCTTGATACGCGGACATGGAAACTGCTAAGGTACTTGAACTACAGCCGCAATCATGCTGTGCTGGTGCGGCCCACATCGCCTCAGGACGGGCAATTGCTGTTCAAATTTGAGTGGGACAAGGTCAAGCTGAGCTTGCGAGTCACTTCTGCAATGTCGGGCGAGTTCGTGTGCACCGTCCCTGGCCGATGGGGGCCCCGCGCCACTTTCTGGAAGGCTGCAGTACAACCAAAACCTGTATACCAACATAGAAATGACTCTATTCATATAGCGTTTCTTTCTACAGCGGATAGGACTGTCTGTGTGGCCAGGCATTGGACGCTTTCGTTGGGCTATGTGATAGGATGCAAGAGGAGGCTGACCGCATGCGCTTGGGATGTTGCCAAGTCCTATGCATTGTGAACAAGAAGCACTTGGACCCAGAGCTACGCAAACAGACCTTGGAACACATCTTTGGACATGCGGCTTTGGAGCTCGAGCAGATTGCCACCTCAGATGAAGTGGACGATACGACAGGAACATCAAAGTCTCCTGGCTCATGTCAGCGGTGAGTCCGTCTTCCTATTTGAAAGCCAACCCTTTCCAACAAGTGTCTGCCATTTTTCCTTTACCTGTCAGCGGTAAGTATAGCTCCAGCATCTTTTTTTGGCACAGCAGCGGTGTGTCCGCTACTGATCAAGAACTTGTTCCTCATGGTTTCGCGAAAGTATTTTTTCGGACAGGCGGAGGGTGCGATCGGAACCACATACATTACCGATGAAGACATTACCGATGAAGCGGAAGAGCCAAGTTCTGAAGAAGCCTGCCAGCGGACTGAAGCGCCCTGCGGGTCGCACCTGAGTCGCATGACACGGGAGAGTTGGAGAAAAAAGATTTGTATATTTGCGTTTTGATTTTGAATTGTTTGATAGCGGTGTGCCCGCTGTACTCTGTACTTAAGTCATGGGTTGCTTAGCGGTGTGACCGCTCTTCTAGCTCAAGAGTACCTATGCTATCGATTGAATATCTATTTGCTATCGATGTGCTATCTATGCTATCGATCTGCTATCTATGCTATCTATGGAATATCTATGCTATCTATGGAATATCTATGCTATCGACAAAATATTTCATGAATTCCATACTCAAAAAATCTTTGTGCTATCTATGGAATATCTATGCTATCTATGGTATATCTATGCTATCGATAGAATATCTATAGAATATCTATTGAACATCTTCAGAATATCTTTCAACTTTTCGTCGTATATTCTCCATGTCTATATTGATTTTGCATCCACTTTGTTCCAAATTTGTCTTTCACTTCTTGCGTGAACCAGAGGCTATAGCCAGGCTGTTCGCTTAGTGGCATTCCCCACCAAGACCACATGGCGGCGGAGAGCCCTGAGGCACTGACTGTGCCAACCTCGCAGACGCAGGTACTCCCGGCTGAGGATGGCGGCTCACAGAGCTGTGTCAAGTGTGGCCAAACCACAGATGTGACCGATGGAGTCATGCGCGGTTACGGTGTGCAATGTCGTGACTGCACGAACATCTACCAGATGCTCTACCGGCATCTTGGAGGTCTTCCGAGCACGCTGCAGTCAATGACTGCGGAGGAACAAATGAGCTTCTTCAAGGCCAGCTCAGACATGGTCAAGACATGCCCAAAGAACGGGCGGTGGGCGTTGGTCAAAAGCAATCTCATTGCTTCGATGACCCGCTTCAAGACCAATCAGGTGAAAACGACGGTTCGCAGGGAATTTCTTCCGCTGAGTGTCTGGGCGACTCGCGGCTTCGATGTTGAGAAGATCAAACAACACGGCCAAAAGCAAACTGATGCGGTTACTTGTCCTTTCATCGACTGCTGCTCTGCTTTTGTACGCGTTGTAATTTCATCTGTAAATTATTTTGTAACTGTAATATATTTAGCGGTGTGCCCGCTGCAGATCTTTGAGTTCTGGAGTAAAGACCTTTGTCGTATAGCTAAACAGTCTTCATCGAAGCCACTTTAGTTGGATTATCAACCCAGGTCTTTGGCGAAACTTGGACAGCGCCATTGTGCGTCATCGATGATCAGGAAATCCGTGGCACGATGGAGCAGGAGGTCGCCGAGAAGGAATACCAGCTGAAGGCCAAGAAGAAGATCCCGAAGTCCAAGGCCGCTCCAGTTCCTGATGCCCTCGCCCCCCAAGGCAATTGAAATCGATGATGATGTGTGGTCCATTCCTAGTGAGGATGAACGAGTTCGCCCTGCGGGTCGAGCAAACAAAGTTCCAAAGAACAGCGCTGAGAAGGATGCCGCGACAGCTGCCCGCAAGGCTGAGCGACAGAGGTCCTTGGCTTGGCGCAAAGAGACTGCCAAGGCCAGCAAGTCGATCGCCAACCTGAACAGTTGCTACGTTTCCTTGAAGGGCGTCATGGACAAGAGTGCAAAGAATGCTAACGTGCTCTCTGTGGAGATGAAGAAAGATCTCCAGGAGGCCGAAGGCAAGATCAGGACTCTCAAGCTGAGCCACTCGTCTTGTCAGGAGGAAACATGCTTCAGCGGTGTGACCGCTATACTTTTGATAATCGATACATAAACATACTTTATACATTGTTGTAACTTAAACACATGTCATACTATATTGCTTGTCTCTGAATGTAACTCAGATGTGTCCCATTATGTCTCTAAGGTGCCACTGCGATCATCGGAACTGATGAAGCGGCGCGAGCTCAAAGCGATCCACCGGCTTTGGGAGAGGCATCTGCCATCCAGGATACAGTCAAGGCTGCTCAGATGCTTCTGAAGGATGCTCGAAAGGTTTTTGCAGAGAAAGCAGCCGAGGCAAAGGCTCTCAAGGAGCCAAAGCCCAAGAAGGCGAGCAAGCCAAAGGGCAAGTGATGTCTTTAAATCTTAGTTTTCCTATACTGATGGTCTCTCCACTCCAACAGTGCCAATTCATGTGCGTGCTTACACGCAGCTGCTCGCTGGGGGAAAAGCCTTTCTGGTGGTGTTTTGTCGCGTGGTCGCAATGTGTATTTTAAACACTAAACCCTATAGCGGTGTCTCCGCTTTTTGGTTTTTTTGGGGCACTGACTCGTCATGGATGTTGAAGCGCGATGTTGGATGCTTAAGTTCCGCAGAACAGAACGGTTTTCTTATAGAGGCTTCATGACCAATGACAGCTCCATGGACTCCACAGCAAAGCTGCTGGAACTCTATGGGCCTGAGGAGCAACAGATGACGCGTGGTCCTGGCCGTAATAAACGGCGCCTACCTCTGCTAGATGAGCGCAAATTTCGCAGAGCTGTCTCTGTTAGAGGAGCGAGCGAGCGAGCCGCTGCTGAGATCTGGAACATCATTCAATCAGATGAGAAGCAGATTAGTCGTGGGCGAGCTGAACGCCTGGTCGCTGCAGAACTGAAGCCATGGATTGACGCCATGCAAGATGAACCTTTTCTTCGCCATGATGGATCCACTGTTGCTTTGCCAGTGGTGGATTTGAAGCCGTGCCTCCAGCATCTGTGTCAGAAGTCAGTTGACTTCAGGCATGCCATCGAGAAGGCGTTGGAGAAAGGACCTCTTACTCCAATCATTTTTTGCGATGAGGCCCAAGCGGGTAATGTTCTGGGAGTGAACAAATCCCGCAAAGCCAATCTATACTACATCAGCTGGTTAGAGCTGGGACATCTGATCAAAAATGCAAACTGCTGGATCCCATTAGCAACAGTGCAAAGCTATTGCTTAGCGCAGCTGCAGGGTGGCCACAGCTCCATCATGATCAAGATCCTCGACAAGGTACTCACTGAAGAGAATGAAACAGGCTTTGCTCTGTCAGGGGGCGCTGTCTTCAAACAGAGAGCGCAAGCTTTTTTCATAGGTGACTTGGAGGCTGTCCGAAGCATCTATAGCTTCAAGGGGTCAGCTGGTATATGCGTCCATGTGTCCTTTGCCTCAATTGCGTCAAGTCTGGTTATGTGGCCAGTTCGGACAGCTACTTCAAGGAGGTGTCCGCTAGCTCTGGTTTCCTGCCCTCATCAGATGTGATATCTTTCAGATGTGTGAGCGTCTGCGGGCTGCTGTCAGCAAGGCGGACCTTGAAGCTCAGGAAAAGTGTAGTGGGTTATCCTACAATCCAGCATCTCTGTTGTGGAACCCAGCTACAAGAGTCAAGATGGCCCCAAGCAGGATCATCGGAGACGCCATGCACCTTTACTTCGTGAACGGCATCTGTAGCTGGGAGATCGCCTTGTTCTTGCAAATAGTTTTTGACCACACGCCGCTCAAATTGAGTGCTCTGCAAGATGTTGTCTTGGCTGGCAACTGGGTCTCTGCAAAGTCGACGGGCCGCACCAGGACCTACCTCAAGAACTTGTTCCACGAGCGCCTGTACGGTGATGGTTTGTTCAAGGGCCAAAGGCATCAGACTACAGCTTTGTTGCCCCTGTTGTTTTACTTCACCTTGACGGCGATTGAGCCCAGTGGCCTGGTTCCAGCTCGCTACGTGGCCTTCTTCAGAACCTTGTGTGGCATCGCTTCCTTCCTTCGTCAACTGAAATTTGGCGGTGTCCTCATCAACGAGAAGTCCATGGCTCGCTTGGACGAACTGCAGCGACGTCATCATGATATGTTTGCGGTCTACGATGTAGACCACAAACCAAAGCACCACATGAGGCTACATTTGCCGGCTCAGCTTCTCAGGACTGGTTGCTTCGTGGACTGCGAGCCTGTGGAGGACAAACATCGCCTCTATAAGAGTGGCGTAGCGGACCGCCAGGACTCTTTGGCGCAGAACCACTCTGCCTTTTCTCGGTCGGTGCTACCCAGGCTGCTCCAAGACACTTTGCTCCAACTCAACAAGCACGGCGTGCCACATTGGCAACTTGTGGGTCACATAGAAGAGGCAAGCCTTGAGGACAAACTGTACTTTGTCACGACCGAGCTGCAGACCAGCAAGAGCCACTGGGCGATACCAGTTGTGACACTTCAGGCTGTTCATGTGTTACCTTTACCAAAATTGTTTTTGGATTTTTTTCATGTACCACCGTGTCCGCTCAAGTCATAGTACCATTGCACTGTTTGCCGTTATCAGGCTGCTGTCTCATCGGCCAACGCCTCTCGAGTGGAGACATGCTTGTGTTCAACGACCACGTTGGCGGCATCATTCGCGATTGGTTCTGGCATCCTACCTAGGGTATCTACGTTCGGCGCGACAATTTTCAGCTTGCGACTTGGATTATTTTACTATACTCACTTCTTTTGGCGGTGTTTTTTGCTGTTGTCATATCTTTACCGCTGCGGCTACCGCCGCACACAAGGTGGACGAGCAACCTTGGGGCACGCGATGGAGACGCGCTGCCGACACGGTCATCACCAAGGTATCGCAGACACGGCCTCCAGTTGCCCCTGCTTGGTATAGCTTCTCGCAGGACGGTCAGTACATGACATGTTTGCGCTAGTGTCCAGAGCGCAAGTTCAGCGCAAGCAGTATACCGCTCACATCTTTGGGACACATGAAAAAAGGCAGCTACGCCAAGACGCGGAAACTTGTTTAGCGGTGTCTTCCGCTTCAGGACATGTCTTTACTCGAAGTAGATACTTTTCTTGCCTATATTTACATGGTCATGCGTTCAGCGGTGTGCCCGCTACATCACATCCACACAGACATATATATCTTTACACGCGTGTTAACAAGTAAACACGTGCGCGCAGCAAACAAACCACACTCACTGGTCAACTTGCTTCTGATGCACGCAAGGCTTCGCATCATAGGTTTGGACTGGGACTGACTGGGACTGGACGACCAGCTTTCAGCCATGATGAACC